ATGGGGGAGAGGAGGCTGGGAGCCACGTGGACAGCTAGGGGAATGGCCTGTGCAAAGGCCCTGGGGTGACACCTGTCTGGTGTGTTTGAGGAAGAGAGGGAGGCCAGGTGGCTGGTACTGAGGGAGTGAGGGCACAGGGACAGCAGGAGAGATCAGCAGGGAAGGCGGAAGGGGTGGGTGCCAGATTGTGACATGATAGGGAGACAAGAATGAGGGGGGCCGGAGCTCAGGTGCTTGACGTGGGGCCCGAGCCCCAATATCTCAGTGCTCCCGTCATCCTTGGAGGAAAGGAAACTGAGGCACGGGTAGATTCCTTAGTTCCCCAAGGCCATCACTGGCAGAGCTAGGATGTGAGCCACGGTGCCTCTCCCTGTGCGGAGATCCCAGGTGACGCTGTTCCACCGGCCGCCCGCTGAGCGCTGGCGCCCCCACGTGTCAGGGAGGAATCAGTGCCCCTCGGACACAGGATGGCTCTTCGTGTGCATGTCCGTGAGCATGTGGTCACCTTTTTTTCAAAAAGGCTTCGTTCAGTACATTTTGTAGAATTTCTCCCGTGGGGGGAGGAATAACCCAAATGACACCATGCCCTGTATTTCCTGTGGCAGTTTGCTACTTTGGGAAAACCAGTGGGGAACCAACCTTGAAGGATGTATTTTATTTTCACCTGAAGTGTTGATGCCACAAGTTTCCCGTGTGCGGGATTGGGAAGCACATCCCCACGCTCTGAGACGGAGGTTCGGCTGCTCGGGCCTCAGGTCCTTAGTCACCTGTGCTCGCCGACCTTCGGGAACAAACGGGGGCTCACCCGAGAACTCGGGGAGACTCATGATCAACTTGGGACTCTGATTTTCAAAGTGTTTGGTGGTTCTGCAGAGCCTCGGGTTCTGATCCCGGACTTCTGAGCTGCTTTGGGGGTGATGGCACAGGGAGCTGTTAGCCCCTCAGTTTCCGTGTGTGATCCATCACTCTGATGGGCGAACACCCCTCTGTTCATACATGGGTGATTTGTGTGTGCACCCCACTGATGCCCCTTTTGTGCCTCTTTCATTCCAGTCTTGGGAGATTTAAGCATTGCCGAACCTCGCGTGGGCAAGCCCGG